CCTGTGGGATTCTGCCGCTCCCTGCCTGAGGTTGTAAAAATCTCCATCATTGGAGGTTTTTAAGAACAGGTTAGCTAAACACCTGTCAGGGATGAACTAGGTTTACTTGGTCCTGCCTCAGGGCAGGGGGCTGGATTTGATGACTTGAGATCCCTTCCAGTCCTACTTTTCTATGATTCTATGACTAAGGTGCACTAAGGAACTTTAGTGGGCACTAGCAGGGTCCACACAGGTCAGTTAGTGTGTGACTCCCTAGTGTGCACTAGAATTCACACCCCACTAGCGTAGACTAATGCCCAGTGCAGAAAAGCTCAGAGATTTCTATCTGCATTACCTCTCCTTCTCAGCCATGATGAGTTTGGTTAGATAGGAGTGCAACTCATTTTCCTGGTTGATCCGTTTCTCTTCAATGTTGTTCCAGCGCTTCTTCTTGGCAATCCGCAGTGCACTTGGAATATCATCCCCAAAATTCAGTCGCTGTTCCTTGGCTAGGTTATAGGCTGGGGAGACAACAGGTGCTCAAGGTTGGGGGCAGGGTGGAAGAAGCTGCTGCTTTGCTAAATCTAGTTAGGAGGTATATCTAATTAGAGGTGGGATTTGGGTCAGTGGATTATGGCTCCCACCACCTTTGCTTTGGCCAGGTGAGTCTGGTTTTGCCCCTCTCCCTGAAGGAGGGAACAGTGAGAGACACCTGTGCCTTTGAGTGCTACATCACTCCCTCAGTGCAAAGCAGCAAATAGGGAATAAATCCTTGGGCCAAGAGCTGCACACAATGACTTGGACCCCATTGGACCATCTCCATATAGAAGCTGGTCAAATCACTGATTTCTACACCGTTTAAGAAGAAACTGACTCCTGTTTAGGCTTCGTCCCCATTCAAATATCAGCCTGTTGTCAAGTGCAGAACCAAGATACAGGGAGTGGCAATTAAACTCCTACAGGTTTCCAAATGCCCTCTCTTCCTACAGAGGAATTGGATATGGGCAGTCTGAAGTGACTACACAGAACTGAACACCAGCCTTTTCTAGCTTAAATTCACATTTTGTATTTCGACAAATGGTGACTTGTGCCATATACTGGTGCCTGTTTTGTAAGAGAGGCCCATTCATTTCTCTGCAGCTGTGGCCCTCATCATGGTGCCTGTTTTGTATTGCTCAATTCTCTGGGTACGTCTACACTTACATCCGGGTCCGGATGTAAAAAATCGATGTTCTGAGTTCGATTTAGCGCGTCTGGTTAAGACGCGATAAATCGATCCCGGATCGATCCCGGAAGTGCCCCGGATCGATCCCAGAAGTGCTCGCCGTCGACGCTGGTACTCCAGCTCGGCGAGCGGAGTACACAGCATCGACGGGGGAGCCTTCCTGCCGCGTCTGGACCGCAGTAAGTTCGGACTAAGGTACTTCGAATTCAGCTACGTTATTAACGTAGCTGAATTTGCGTACCTTAGTCCGAAGTGGGGGGGTTAGTGTAGACCAGGCCTCTGTATGTTAGCAACAGCCAAAGATAGGCCCTGGTATCCTGTTAATATGGGAGGTCCTGGCCACCTCTATAGGTTGGTGACGGCTTGTGCCAGGCCTGAACATTTAATAGGAAGATACTGCTCACCTCTCTGCAAGTTAGCAATGGCCTCATCATAGTTCTCCATCTCCATCTGGCACTGCCCCAGAAAGAAATGGGCCTTCACTGACTGGCTGTCTAGTTCCAGGGCATGTTTACAATCTGCCAGGGCCTTATCATGTTGCTGCATCTTCAGGTAACACAAGGCTCGGTTGGTGTAGTATACTGCCACTAAGGGGTTCCGGTTCTGGAAGAAAAGTCAGATACATTAAAGGTCTGCCAAGGATAACACAAAGCATATGAGACTTTCATAACTGCACATGGATGGGAAGGGACAGAAAAGTTCAAGTCTTTCTCCTGCTCTTAGTATCTGTGAAATCTAAATATTACTGGATTGGTCCTCACTGTTCTGGTTATTTGCTCAACGTTATAGTAATGGTCACAAGCAGTGCTGAAGCATGCAAGCTCTGGACTGCTGTGCTCTAGTATTTAACCTGCTTGGCCTACTGCACGTTACCCTTTACAATATGGAGCCACAATTTAGGTACTAAGATGGAAATTAGCGTTAAAAGCCGTCTATCTGGGCAGGCTACTGAATCCTGGCTCATGTTTCCAGAAGTGCAAATGCAGAATTCTGCTTTTCTCTCTCATTTAAGCCTTGACAAGGCCTACCAGGCGGGAGTGTGCCTTTCCTTCACTGGGCCAGAGGAAAGATACACCATTGAGATGCTCCACAGACTCCTCATTATCCAGTAGACAAGGTGAGATAGAGTTCTAAGGCCCACAAAGGATAGTTTTGCTCAGAAATCCTGCAAAGTATAATTGGATCCAGAGAAGTTTGCTTTGTGGGAGAGGCCCGATCCTTGACCTGAATTATTTTAAATTACATAAATATTTTGCTCATGAAAGTTAGAACAGCACTGACTAGAGCCAATCAGGCAGGAACTGTACGTGATTCTCCTGCAGAGCTCTGCCAGTGCAATACAATCCTGACCTTATGCAGCCTCTGCTATCCCAAACCCTGGGCCTCCAAATAACAAACACCAATGCACTTCTTGATCTGCTGCACCATGGACAGTTCCAGTCCTGCCTAACCTCCTCCCAGTTTTGCCAGTTCATCACATTCCTTAACAAATGAGACCCATGGTATTCTAGCCCTGGACCTCCACCTACTCTACCAATGCACCACAGTCCAGACCTGCAGCACCTGCTATTCTAGTCCTGGGCCTCTGGCACAGTTCCATTGAGGGATCTCAATCCTGACCTGCCCCCGCTCCTAGCTATTCAAGTTTTGGATTTCTCCACTCTGCAGTGATTTGATGATGTGGACAAACATCCACAGGAGACTCTGAAGAGATGAATACACATTTTCACTTGTGAGTGACTCAAGAAAATTTGAACCCAAGTCTCCAAAGACAAAATGCTCTAGCTCTCAGACCACAGCTTGTTCAGTAAATGGATACAAGTCATGTTAATCAGCATGTCCTTGGAGCTAAGTGATCACTCCTGTCTTTCTAAACAGGAGACAACAATGAAGAGTCTAAAGCTGCATAATCTTGGCCCATCAGCTATTTCCCAAAGGCATGTTGTATGTTGTTTACAAGTTCATCATCATGGACCCAGCTAACAGGCTTTAGCAGTTACCATGAACCAGCAGCCAGGTTGATATACAAAAACATACTTAAAGAGCAGTACATGACAGACAAACTAGGAAAACCATGAATGCTACATTGAGACAGGCTAGATTGTGACAGTCACCCAAATCAAGAGTGGATTACAGACAACACAGAGCAGAGGCGATTTGTTGAGGGTGTGTGAGTAAACACAGAATAGACAGACTACACAAACTGGCTTTTGTAATGCTATCTTCCTAATGAAACAGAGGAAATACTTGACTCAGCTAAATACCAGGCGGGGCACAGAGACTATTCCAGACCTAGGAGAAAAGCATCCCAAACAGTAATCTCCTAACATTAGCAGTCCTGAGTGTTTAAAGAAATTTCCTTCAATCTCAAACTGTACATCTCAATCTGCAGAGTCAGAGAGAGAAAAAATCCCCCTGTGACAGGCATGATACAAGTAAAGGGTTTTATTCCCAAGAGGACATATGCTTAGGAACACAAATCCCAAAGAGCCATGGTATGAGCCCTAGATTATGGTTCTGATGGCACACCTGGAATCTGGACCACATCAAAGGTTCAAGTGCTGCACTAGACAGAGCTCACAAACACTGCAGTGCAGTGTTATGTAGAATGGGTCCTTTGGATGACATTTTAAACTAAGATCCTTCCTGCCCATAACTAGTGGATATTGAAGTAGAAACTAAGGCCCTATCAATAAATACTTCAATTATAGGGCTAAAGATCTCATATAGTACTTTGTGGAGAGACTAGGAGATAAACCGTGTCCTGTCCAAACCCTTTCAGCATCATAAATTCCAACATCCCCAGCTGTTTGCCTTTACTGCCATTGTCACTAACAATTCTCAACTCACCTTTTTGTAAAAGATTGATATCCCAAGTCTGAGCACCCCAGATCAGCACCCCAAGCTGAGCAATAACTGGAATGCTGAAAACATTGTCTAGGCCTAAATCCATAGGGTGACCTGAGTGTGAAATGTTTTTCCAGGCCTCCTGTTCCCAAGGAACTCTTGTAACCAACAGAGCTCTGAAGGAGGGACTAGGCCTCCAAGGAAGCAGGGACCTTAGCCTGGATTCTTCCCAAAGCGGTGTGTTTGTTTGTTTTCAAGCAGGAAGTGAGTTCTGCTGTATGTCTTTCCAGGGACACACAATGGATACTGGCCTCAGCTTCAAACAGCTCAGCCCCCAATGTGCAAACTGGCCCTCACCCTACACAGCTCAGCTCTACCTCCCCCAAATAGCTCAGCTGTGTCCCCTGCAGTGGGTACCAGCCTCTTCCCCTAGACAGCTCAGCTCTACGGCTGCCCACCCCCTGCAGTGGGTGCCAACCCCTCCCCCAAACAGCTCAGCTCTGTCCCCAGAGATGGGTGCCAGCCCCTCCCCCCAGACAGCTCAGCTCTATCCCCCTGCCCCCCTTGGGATCCGGCCCCTCCCCCCACACACCCCGGCCAGGCAGGTATCCCCCCCCACGCCAGGCGCCCACCTAGGCCTCAGCTTGGTCCGGTAGGCCGCACGGCTCCCCGGTCCCTCCATCCCAGCCCACCTTAGGCCGCTAGATCCCCCAGCCCGCACTCACGATGGCCCGGCCGTAGCAGGCGGCCGCCTCGGGGTACTTGCGGCTGACGAAGAGCCGGTTGCCCTGTTCCTTGTGCTCCTGGGCGCTGTGGCTCTTCTCGGGGCTGCCCCCGCCCGGGCCGCCCCCGAGCCCGGCCGCCGCGCTGCCGCGGGGCCCCCCGCACGGCCCCCCGCCGCCGGAGCCGCCCCCCAGCCCCAGGCCGCCGCCGCTCTCCTTCTCCTCCTTCCCCTTCATGCCGCAGCGCAGAGCTCCCGTGCGGGGCCCGGCCGGATCCCTGCGGCCTCGCACTGCGACAGCCCGGCCGGCCCTGCCCGAGCCCGCCTCCGCCCCGCCCGCAGCCAGCGGGACTTCCGGCGGGGCCGGGCCTGAGGGGAGGGCAGGTGAGATGGAGACGGAGTCGGCGCTGAGGGGAGGCCGGTGGCGGCTGGGAGAGTGAGGGAGCTACGGGGGTAGTGGCGGGGAGGGAGAGTTCGGGAGGATGGGGGGGGGGGGGGGTGGGAGGGTCGGGGCGGAGGGGGTTGGAGGGGGGGAAGGTCAGGGCTGGGAGAGTTAGGGAGCCAAGGAGGCTGGGGTGAGGGGATAGAGTGGGTATCAGGGGGCTGAAGGCTGGTGCTAGGAGGGTCAGGAAGGGTTGGGGGGCTGAGGGGGTTGGAGTGGGGGACAAGGGTGGGAGAGTCAGGGCTAGGAGAGTTAGGGAGCCAAGGAGGATGAGGTGAGGGGATAGAGTGGGGATCAGGGGGCTGAAGGGTGGGGTTAGGAGTGTCAGGGCTGAGGGGTCTGTGAGGGTTCAGGGGGCTGGAGTGGGGGTCTGGGAGGGTCAGGGAGCTGAGGGGGTTGGAGGAGGAGGGGAGGTAAGCTGAGGAGCTGGGTGGCAGGAGCAGGCACAGGGCACTGCAGGGAAATAAAGATGAATGCAGCAAGGGGGTAGGTCGGGCAAGGAGAGTTGCAGCTTCCTGGAGTGCAGGGAGAGCCAGGCTTAGAGGCAGCGCCTTGAGGGGGGGCCATAAGGACCAAAAGTGCTAAGAGGTGGAGAGGCCTGCTCGAGAGCATGGTGGGGTGAAGGACCGGGAGGTAAGAAGAGAAAAGAGAGAATGTTGACAAGGCAAGTAGAAGGTGAATGAAATGAGGATGGGTTTGGGGGTTGTAGGGAGGGGAGATAAGTATCAGCATTTTCTTCCCATAAGGTCTCTGCTCTGTAGTTCCATTAGCATCAAGTCTGTTTGTCCTTCTCTTTTAGATGTTCTTCATCCTCAGCGTCCTGGAACCTTGAAACATGCCATTAAGTGGAGGCCTATATGATTGTGAAGACCCCACCTACTGGAGGACAGTGTTTGATGTCTACTGGGATGTACTCAAAGCCAAAGGAGGCAGGCAGAAAAAACTTGCTGAGTTGGATAAATGGTAAATGCTCAAGCATTTAAGGTGTTTTCTTTTCTGCTGCATTATTCTCTCTAGGAGCACCACCTCATCATCTGTTGAGGAAGCATACAGCTATGAGTCCTATCCATAGCAGCCTCTTTCAGTGTGAAATCCCTGCCAACTGTTCTCCATTAGCAGCAGCTGGGTCTTCAATAGCATGAGCTTCCTCTCAGCCAGTCAGTACCAGCTGCAACTCCAGCAGCAAGAACATGTAGGTTCAAGAATATATTTTGACTCCTTGTCTCCCAACGGGTCTTTGTTTCAGGTATCAGGAGGAGCTGCCAGTTGCTATTGCAGGAAGGAGAGAAAAATATCTGACACAGGCTGAAGTGGTGAAACTGATGGAATGGAAACTTGCTGTAAGTAGCTTTCCCAGATGAATTGCCATATGTAACATCTCAGTGTTGGTGTCACTAGGCATCACCCTAGGTAATCGGGGGGGTGGAAGACCACGAGAGTCGAAGCCCCCCCGCTCTAGGCCAAAGTGAACCAAAGCCCCTCAATGTTAAACTTCACTAACCTCACCGGCCAGCAGCTGGAAAGCGGTAGTGATAAGGGGAACCTACATGCTTCTAGCTGAAGGACAAGATTACTTGCAGAAAGGAACATTGCGAACAAGCTACACAGCCAAGGTCGTTTAATGTAACTGCTGCAGAGGGAGGAAGGGGGGGGGGGGCGGGCGGGGCGGGGAGGAAGGAAAAAAAAAGGGGGGGGGGAACTGCTTGTATCAGTGAGCTTGATTTGAGACATGCTGGTCTCTTAGTGCCTATTCAGAGCTCTTGAATAAACTTTGTCTGCTTCTCCACCCTGGTGTGTTCATTGGCGCGAAGCACACCGGGCAACGAACCCCGCTGTTGCCCCCTTGGGCCCTCTGTGCCGGCAACATCAGCCATATAATCAAAGTGTTTGTGTAGTGGCAGGGAGGGTCTAAGGCTATGTTACAGCTTAAGTCGACATAAACTATGTTGCTGAAGTGTGTGAATTAGCCATCCCCTTGAACGACATTTATGCCAATTTAAGCGCCAGCGTGTAGAGCACTGTGTCAGTGAGAAAGCTGCTACTGCTACTTGCAGGGGCTGGGGTAATTAGATTCATGATCCATAGAGTGACTATATTAGAGAACTTACAGTAGCAGAGCTGCATCAGTGCTGCTGTAAACTCTCTAGTGTAGCCATAAGCTCAGAGCCTTGGGGTCTAGAACATCATTTTCAATTGCTGGTGGTTTGGAGCTCTGCTGGTTATATTGACTTTTCTTTAAAACCTGTGTGAAAGAGTTTGATGCTGCCAGCCTTAAGGCCTCTGTAGTTAGCATCTATTTAATTCTGTTATTCATATTTTAAAGGTACTGCAGTCAAGGAAAACAATCCAGCCAAATCTTCTGGTCTGTCTGAACCATGCTTGATGCATGACTGGGGGAGGAGCAATGGTGTCTTTATGCTACCTTTGTGGCTCCTTAATTGAGGGGTTATTGTGCCCCCACACACACACACACCTTATAGAAGCCTCAGGCTTGCTGTAAGTTGCAGTCAGCTACCATAACCCCAAGGGATTGTCCCAGCAATCAGGGATCTTGGGGGCATATGGCTTTTCTGCCACATGCAGTTGCCCAGGCTATGTCCCCTAAACAGGATCCTACAATGGGATGGCATAGAGCCACTCTGCCAGGTAGCAGCCTCCTCACCTTCTGAGGCTGAGGATTTAGCCCTTTATTTAAAAAAGTTATCCTCTGTGTGCATTAGTAATAACACATTAGAATATCAGAGCAGGAATATTTTTAAATCCAAGGTATGCTATTTGTTTAACTTTTTCCATTTCACCCAGCTTGGTAAGTTTCCTCTGACTAGCACAACAGAGCTGTGTGTGGGTTTCCACTACAATAGGGGAATTATTATTCAGTCATTTATGAAACATTAATACTGTACACAACTCTTTACAAACAAGGAGGTGGATCCCTGCTGCATAATAATCAAATTATCATGGGCTGTTGACTCACAGGAAGAAGGTATTAGTCCAAGTGTAATGGACAGGGTGGAAAAGTCAAAGGGAGTATTTAGGAGAGAGGAGCAGGAGGCATGTAGGGGACAAGGTGGGGGGAGATGGTGGAAACAAAGGTAAGAAACTAGTGGCATTGTAATGGGACAGAGGCTTGAAGATGTGGTCAGAGGAGCACATGCTTAGGCTTTGTCTACACTAGGAAAGAGGACAAGAAGATGAAGCCCCTGAAGTGATGTGCTCAGAGTGTGGGTGAGGAAGCTTTAAATCCCACCCTCCAGCAAAACAAAATGTTGCTGGAAATCTTGTGTTTCATAAAATCGTGCACACCCTAGGGTTTTAAAAACAACACCTTTTCTCCCAAACAGAGCCTAAATTCTGAGCTTCAGCTCACTTGGCATTCTCCTTTTAGATAGTCACATAGCTTTTTCATTTTCTGGACCAAGGGTAGGCAACGTATGGCACGCGTGCTGAAGGCGGCACGCGAGCTGATTTTCAGTGGCACTCACACTGCCCGGGTCCTGGCCACTGGTCCGAGGGGCTCTGCATTTTAATTTAATTTTAAATGAAACTTCTTAAATATTTTAAAAACCTTATTTACTTTACATACAACAATAGTTTAGTGTTATATATATATATATATATATATATAAAAAAAAATTAGACTTATAGAAAGACCTTCTAAAAACATTAAAATGTATTACTGGCACGTGAAACCTTAAATTAGAGTGAATAAATGAAGACTCGGCACACCACTCACTTCTGAAAGGTTACCAACCCCTGTTCTGGACCATGCTTGAGGATAAAGATCCCCACATGGGGTGTTTTCCTTCCAATCACAAAACATCTCAACTTGGAGAATGCCAGGAAGGGCTCTCCCTCTGGATCACTAGTGGCCCAGAGACCATAGCTTGGGAACCTCCACTAAAAAGAAATATCCCTGGAAGGACTCATTATACTTTTCCCATGTGTTGGAAAGGAACTCATGGCCCCAGGGTATTGAAACCCTTATTATAAAGGCCACTTTTAATTGCTGGTGCCCATAAACTATAGACTTTTTCCCGTAGCAATGAGCTGTACTCACTTGTAGAGCGAAGAAGCTGAGCTCTTCAGGTTGGGATGTCCTTACCATGCTCTTCTCTCCTCCCATCTAGCGGGGAAAGTTTCGTCCTCGTCTGCAGCAGCTGGTGGCCAGTAACTCCAGTGAAACGGTGGAGGGCTGTACAAGGAAAGCTTTCCAGCTCCTTCCAGACGTGGCAGCTGCCATTACTGAGCTGAGCCAGCTAAAGGCTGTGGGACCAGCCACAGCTTCGGGTAAGGAGTTGTGGGAGGGAGGGGATAAATCCAAGAGGGCCAGGGCCCGGCTATACCGTTAGGTAAGAAATGGGAAGATTGTTCAGATTTTCCACAGCACTGTGTAAATAGCACCACCCAAATGGTGCTAGTTAGAGTGGGATCTGAAATGCTGATCTTTCCTGGATGATAAACACTTCTGGGAGACAGTATTGGCCCTAGAACTGAGCACTGGGGAAAAGAAAGGGGAAGCACCCACATCTGCAACCTGGTCTCAGTTTTTCCCAATCCAGCAAGTAGCCAAACTTGTTTCCAATGGCCAGTTCTTAGAGAGAAGACCTTCGCATGTGCTTAGTGCTGTGGCTGGCAAAAGCAGCAAATCAAAGGCATCTGGGCTTGCATGGGATGGTGCCTGCATATGAAGTTGTGGTTAGGTCTCTGGCTCACTGTGTTTTCCCGTGTGTTTGTGTAAAGTGGGGGCACATTCACATGTGGGGGGAATTAGAGACACGCTCAAACTGCAAAATTGTAATCCTTATTTCAATCCCCCTCTCCTCCCAAATTCAAGACTGTTCAGACACCCAAGTTTTGGTTCAATCACATCTCTGCTGGGAATAAAGGTGAAACATACTTTTGGGTTCAGTTTCCATGATGTGTCCTGGAAGGTGTGGTCAGGAGTCTGATTCCAGGCGTTCTGAGAGCCTGAACAAGGTGGGGGAAGCTGCATGTTTCTCCAAGACACGGGGCAGTCACTGTCATGCAGGCTGCCCCGTGTCTCCTCTTTCTACCCCCAACCTCTTCCTTTTCTCTGCTCAGCACCTTCCACTCTTCCCACTTAGCAATTCTAGCTGCAGGAGCCCCAGAGGCTGCGGCATTTATGGCAGATGAAGCAATGGAGTCCATTCCAGGCCTCACCCCAATTCAATATACCCTCAAGCATTACATCCTCTACCTGGACAAGATCCAACTCTGTGTCAAGAAACTAAACAAAGGTAAGGGTAGGCGGGGTCACTGCCACAGACCTCATAGGGGGTAGGGGAAGGAGGATTGCATCTCTCTGCTTTAGTTAAGTGTTTATGGTCTGAATTTCAGAAATTATTTGAACTGCAATGAACCCTTTAGTGCTTACAGTAAGGTTGTCATTATGATACAAGAAAACAGTGGTTAGCACAAATGACTGGGAGTCAGGACCCTGGATTCTATTCTTGTCTCTGCCACTGATTGCATGGCCTTGGCTAAATTACGTAGGCCCAGAGCCTCAAAGGCATTTAAGCACTTAACTCCCATCAATGGGAGTTAGGCTCTTAAATACCTTTGAGGATCTGGGCCCTAGTTTCTCTGTGCTTCAGCTTCCCCCATCTGTAAAATGAAAGTAACATTTACTCACCTCTGCCCAGTGCATTGAGATCCTCAGATGAAAGTTGCCGAAAAGTACAACATTGTTGATATCTGGCATTTCTGCATCACGTGATTCATTGAAAAGTAAATTAATTGGTAGTCAAATTCAGGAAACAGAATTTCCTGGTTTCTTAGACCTGAACCTTGCAGTCACTGTAGAGCCATTCTCAGCAGCGCCTGTATTGAAACAGCTGCTCTGCAAGATTTCCCTTATTAACCTTTCCTTGCCTTCTGTGCCCACCATGAATTTGCATTGCCTTTTCATTCTCCCTTCAATTTTTGCTTGAAGTTGTGGCCAGCTCCATCTCCCTTCCCTGCTCCCCTGGTCTGTGTCTTCCTCCTGGGTTTCCAAAGGTCTCAGTGTGGCAATGATTCTGTCCACTAAGTTTTCCTGCCCTGCTGTACTGTAGAACCATAGCAGCAGTAGGGCAATTGTAGGCCAGGATTGCAGAGATGTTCTCCTGCCCCAGCCCACGTGTACATCTATGAAACAGCAGCTTTTGATCTTTCCCTCCCTCCTAGTCTGGTATGACTGACATTCTCCACTCAGGAGAGGCTCAGAACTGGAATAGCAGGAGGGATGTTTGCAGGGCCAAAGTGAGGTGTATTGCCAAAGTTGTGTGGGAGCCCAGGAGAGATGCTGCAGATCTGGATCAATGTGCATTAGCAGAGTTGTGTGAGGGAAGTCTGTCTCATTCTAATCTGTACTATCAGCCTTTCACTTTACTGGGCCACATATCTTACCAAAAATTCATTTGGGAGATGAGGGAGACAGGGTAGGAATCAATCTACATCTGGTTCCTCTACTGATGCAGAGTGTAATTGCTCCCTTCTGATCTTTTCTAGCGGATACAGAGAAAGCATGGACTCCTCATCGTGTGGAGATGTGTCTCTGGGCCTGGGCTGTGGCACAGAAATTGTGTCCTTCACTGCTGCAGACTCTCAGCTCAGGGGGAGAGAAGGCAGCTGATGAGGCGGATGAGGATGTTAGACCCACAAAGAAATGGAAAGCCAGGTGAAAACATTATCAGCCAGGAACCTAACAAGCGTCACTCAGTGTTTGCCTCCTGTTATCCGATGCACAGTTTGACTAAATGCCAAAGCTGGACTCCTTGGGGAATCTAAATATTGCCCTTTTTGGGGGGGGGTCATTCAGGGAATGGGTCAAATTGATCAGGTGTGGGAAGAAACAAAGGGGAGCTCTTCTGTTTGAATCACTCCCCATTTGGAACCAAAGCTGAGCTTTCAAATGGAGCCCTCTGCTTGGTGTGTGCAATGATTTTTACAATAATTCCTTAATAAACTTTTGATGGTTTTCGTACTACCACATAGTTGGGGTTTGCTTGGTTGCCAATAGGATAATGATGTGCCAACAGGAAGTGCCCTCTCTCTTACTGTATCTCTCTTGTCCTATCTCACCTACCTCCTAAACATGAATGGATCTTCCAGGATGCCATCCTGGCCCCAGCTCTGACTTCCTGGACCATTTACCTCGTTCATCTCCAATAATCCCATTGATTGAAGATTCCTCCAGCTAGAATTGTATCATCAGAGTTCTTCCATCACAATAGCTGCATGTCATGATCATTAAAAGAGCTGGTGACGTGCTCAGCCCTGAACAATAGTCAGACATCATGAAAGTCTCTGCTCTGGAGAGCTTATGCTCTGCGTGACCGACGAAATGCATTGAGACATCCAGAGGGGAAGTCACCATGGGTTTTATTTCCCCCTTCCTTCTATTCCTCTCCCCAGTCTATTCAATTTTTCCATGGGTACACCCTACAAAAGAAGGGTGTCTTTAGTAGGGACTTGAAAGGGGATTGGAGACCTGACAGATAGGGATCAGGAGATCATTCCAGGCATAGGAAGCATCACAAAAGAAGGCCAAAAAAAAGGAACGGAAAAAGGAAATGGATGAGGCTAGCACTGTTGGCGTAATTGGCATGACTGCACATTCCAGGCACTGAAGTGTATTGGCAGTGTACTGGAATAATGATGCTGCAGTTCAGGCCCTTGGTACACTGGCAAAGCTGTGGGGACTCCAGGATTGGAAAAGCCCAGAGGGGTGGGGGGGCCGTGCAGTGCAAGCGTGAGGGGTGGGAAAGGGAGTCCCCAAGACTAGGATATGAAGGGTTGCTGCTGCAGATAAGGAGTGAGGTGCAATGTCCGGTTTATGTGCATCTCCCCCTTCCTAGCACATCTGTGGATGACTCTTGGGGCGATCCATGTCTTGTACCCCATTTAAAGTGGATGAAACAAAGATGAAGGTTGTATGTGGTCAAACTGCCTTTCAGTGGCTCAAGAGAGCATGAATACCAACCTCAGGGAAGCCTGTTAAGAACCAGGGCACAAAGCCAAAATTGGTTGAGAGTTCTATTTAGATTTCACCACCAATTACCAAGTGCAAATTCATCATGCATTATAACTGCCTTGTCACAGAGAGTCCCCTTGGTACTCCAATCTGTCACCCAGGTAAGCCTACCTTTGTGAGAGATGGTCCCTTACACCAAGGATCACAACAATATTCAGGTTACTTCAAGTCCCAAAGGACAAGTCACTTACCCCCAGGTCAATTGCACTGTAGATCTCACACCAAAGACAATGCTTGTAGCGAGTCCTATAATAAACTACCTAAATTTATATAGGAAACGTAAATAAGAATTATTTACAAGGTTAAAGCAGGTGAACATACACACACAAATAAGTTCCAATCTTACGTTTCAAAATGTAATAGATGCTTCTGCAATAAACAAGCTCTATATGCCCATTTGGACTAACCCTGGCTAAGTACTGGGGTTCTCTTACTTATGCCTAGAAAACTTTGCCCTCAGAGTCCAAGCAGCATAGAGATAGAGTTCCTTCTTGTTAGGAGGGTTTCTTCCCACTCCTCCTTACACTTTGAGGGGAACTCAGCTGATGGGGGGAGTTCACTTGCATGATTCATCTTCATGGGGCAGGGAGGAGGGGGAGAAGAGAGCAAGCAACAGTATCTTTTGTCCCCTACTGTTCCACAATAATTTGTTTGGTGTTGATGGGTCTTCTCTTTTGGGGAGGACATTTGGTTGGAGACTGGCATTTCACACTAGTTAATGTCTCACACCTGACTGGTGATTTATACAGAGGCGCTCACAATGCAAACTTTCAAATATTATCTTATAATAAGTGACACAGCTGTTATAAGGAGATTGATGCCTGCAACAGCTCACAAGCATTCCATAAAGTTTAAACACAGTCTGTTAAGTCTAATACCTATTTTAACAATACTAACAAACAGGTGAGCCAGACTGATTCCAGCTATGCGCTTATAATGTTTAGTTGAGACGTAGGGACCTTGGCATGGGCTGGGCTGGCACCTGATCTGCCAGCATCCCATGTGCAACCTATCCCATCAGCTATTTGGTGTATCCTTTGCGTTACTAGATAATATCACTAAAGTTACAGCCCTTTATATTTTCAAATTACTGTACCAATATTAACAAATTCATTCTGGGGTGGCTCTGTGTATTATGAGGTACTATGGACCCTAGACTATGCAGTAAGGCACTGATGACTTACATGTCTGAGCAGCATGGAATTTGGAGGCAGACTAGTAATTATGCGCCAGTGATAGCAGATCACAAAATCATTCAGCAGTTTTACTGGGTCATTTAAAAACAAGTGTACAACAAATTGAAAATATCTGAGGGCTATTTGCATTGTAGGAGAAAAACCCCAACCCATGGCTCTGCAGGAGCCTTCTTGGACTGTGTAGTTAGCCAGCTGGAACTAGATACTTGGTGTGACAGAACCCTGATGAAGCTGTTGAAGTCCTCTTTGAGAGAGGAGCAGGGGCTTGGAGAAGGAGGGTGCTACCATCTGTGCCTCTTAAGCTGCACAGGAACAAGGATCTACAGTTGCAGGGTTGAGAGCTGTGCCATGGCAGCTCCTTGGATACACAGGCATGGAAAAGGCAGAGACAGTGGCAGGCAGACAAGTGGAGCTGGAGTATTGCAGGAAAACAGGAATGCCACATCAATAGATTGGGGTGACATCTCAGTAAAAAGAGAAATCATGCAGCCCCTCGCACAACTGCATGGCTGAATTATATGCAAGGCTCAGTTTAGCCTTCCTGGGATGCAGCTTAAGTTATTACTCTTTTAGAGATGGAGAAACTGAGGCACAGAAAGGTGAAGCAAGTTGTCCAAAGCAGCTGGGGTTAGAACACAGGATTTCCTATTACCTGAGCCTTGCTCAGTCTAGACAGTGCCTATACATTTCCCCAAAGATGTTTTTTGCTGCTGGAGCCTAAGCTACGGACACTGGGTAACCAAGGGACCTGTCTCCTGATGCCAGAGGACAGCTGCTGCGTTAGCTGACTCTGCAGAAGCCAAATTGCCTCACATCCAATAATGAATGAGTTTATTAGACAGTCAGTGACACTGGCTGACCTGCCCCGGAGTGGGAAGGGAATGGAGGTGAATGGGAGATGGTTATTTTGGATTTGGAGGGTCAATAAAGAGCAGAGTCAGGAACCAAAAGCTATCAAGAAAGCAAAGCAAGAGATAGAAAATAAGACTGTGTCCCCAGCCAAGCAGTGAGGCAGTCTTGAGGGCAACAGACAGCACTCAGTCCAGCTCCTTGTCAGCTCCCAGAGGCTCATGGCCACAGTGTGCATGGCATGGAACCCTTTGTGTCTCTGGAGACAAAAGTGCCTTCTGAGAAGTGCCTGACATGCATGGCATGGTTCAGAAAACTTGCTGCAGTGATCCGGATTTGCTATCAATCAGGATCGTTTCATGCTGCCTGGAGTTTTCCACTCTGGCAATTTTCCTTTAGGCTTTTCCCCCTCCCACTTGTTTCCACATTTCCTCTTTTTCTGGCAGCTCAACTGGGTCTGGATTCCTTTCATTCAAGAAGCAAAGTGGCTGGCTGGATAGCTGGGAGGATCTTCCTGGCCCAGTGAGAGCCTGAGCTTCCTCCCTTTAAAGTCAATTGCAAACCTTCCATTGACTTGGTGTTTAAAAATCAAAGTATAAAAGAGTATGGCTACACTACAGTGACTAAACCGGCATAGCTATGGTGCCATAGCTAAGGATAACACTGTAGTGTAGACAGCCTACACCAGTGGAAGGGGTTTTCCTTTACTGTAGGAACACCACCTCCCTGACTGATGGCCACTAGGTTGACAGAAGAATCCTAGACAGACACCTCGCTGTGTCTACACTGAGGTTTAAGTCGGCATATCGACATCATTCCAACCTGTGGATTTTTCACACCCATGAGCAATGTAGGTATGTCTACCTACATTTTTAAGTGTTGACCAGGACTAAGCGATGGTCAAAGACCTCTAGGTTTGTTGTATAGAACATAGACAGGGACTCAGAGTCCTCAGCATGAGGGGGCCAAATGCACCCTGACATGAATATGTGCATCTCCCATAAGCCTTCGGGCCAGTTGTTCAGTAATTGGGTATGAGCCAGTGCTAACAGGTAATTTACATCAACTGGCATCTCGCATCTGAATTTGGCCCACTGAGCCTGAGTGTATGAGTGTGGTAGGCCTGGTCTACGCTTAAAAATTAGATTGACCTAGGTATGTCACTCAAGACTGAAAAATTTCACAGCTTGGCCATCGTCATTAGGTCGATCTAGCCATGGTGTAGCCATGGCTAGGTCAGAGGAATTCTTCTATTGACCTAGCTACCACCTCTTGTAGAGATGGATTAAATACATCAATGGAAAAAAGCCTGTCTGTCAACGTATGAAGGGTCTACACTACAGCACTATAATTGCAACGCTGCAGTGCCATAGCTGTGCCATTGTACAGGCTGTAGTGTAAGCATGCCCTTAAGTTAGACTCTCACTAGAGTATGCCTACATTACAGTCGCACAGCTACAGCCCGGCAGCTATGCTGCTGTCGTGTAGATGCTTCCTGCATAGATGAAGAGTTTTTCTGTTGATGTAGGTAATCCACCTCTCCAAGAGGCTGTGGCTAGGTCAATGGAAGAACTGCCGCTACACCAGAGTTTAGGTCGACCTAACTATGTTGCATGAAATTTTTCACAGCCCTGAGCAATGTAGCTAGGTCAACCTAAGTTTTAGGGGACCGAGATGCATGGTGGAAAAAAAGCATCTGGGGGCGGGAGGGAGAGAAAATAAGAAAGTGTAGGTTAAAGACTAATTTACACTTTCTCATGATGACTCAGACAATAATTCATACTAACAGACTATCATACACATAGGTAAGTGGGTCTAAGTAGGTCTAAGGAAGTTCTTTTCCATCTTTCACATTATCTCTGTATTTGACTCAAGTGTATCCAAAAATACAATGAACCAGGTCTAGCCATCAA